AAGAGAGGAGAGAAGAGATAGGGGAGAGAAGAGAGGAGAGAGGAGAGAGGAGGGAAGAGAGGAGAGGAGAGAGGAGAGAGAAGAGGAGAGGAGAGAGAAGAGGAGAAACAGGAGGAAGGGATGACCCCGGAACTACGTCTCCTAAGTGGTTTCGCTTGTGGGGTGTTATTATCATTGCATGTATGTGACACGTGTCTGCATTCGGGCTCGTGGCTCCTATCTGGTTTTTTTTTAAGGGGTAGGTAGTCCAGCAGCTGCCCAAATCTTCAGTATTAGGGCCTCAATTATTTGTCAATTCGGAGGACCGCAAAAAATAGCAGAAATCTAACCTTCGATACGCTTTGCATTTGCTCAAAAAACGTGTCGCAGTTTGAGGGCTCCTTTGTAAGAAGATCAATGTCGTAAAAAAAACCTATCCAACTGAAGGTACTGGTAAGCGTGGGCCGATCAATCATGTCCGCAAAAGATGACCAATATTTTCTATGCTCCTTGCAAAGATCATGCACAGCAAGCCTCGCTGATTGTGCCCTTGCACATGATGCGCCGCACGTTCGTCGTGGTCATCACTGGGCCGTAAAGCAGGTGGAAGAAGCACGCAAGCAGAAACCTGTCATTCATGGCGATGTACTCCATGCCCCCCACGACGAGAAGAATAAATGCAAAGTACAACATGAGGACACGTCGCAAGACTAGAACCTGAGATTTCTGCTGATTTCTAGCAGCTGTTTTTGCACAGCCGCGTTTGCACCTTGGCTGTTACGAATAGCCACGGCTAGGGTCAGGACGGAGCCGATCATGCCGTGGCCACCGAGAAAAAAAGCTGGATCATTTCCCATGCTCATGTTCACGATCTTGTTCATGCTGTTGTTCACGACGGAACTGCCTCAGGAAAGTCAGAACGCTGACGTCAGCAATCCGTCACCACGAGGTGATTGAAGAAAAGTCGCGATTGCCGGCCTAGTACCCGTCCATAAGCATCGAGAAGCGTCCCTGCATACGCAGAACAGGAAGTCGGAAATTCAGATCATCTAAACGCTGCAGCAGCGAACTCAGCTCGGCACAGACCCAGTTGCGGATACAAGAGAAAGCAACCGGAGCTGCAAGAAGATCAGAGCCGCAAGATGAAGCATCATCCTGAGGCCTCATCGCTAGCTGTGATGCGAAATGGCTGTGGCACATCCATGAGCATTTATCTCCAGGGCGACAAGCTAAATAAGCTCTCAACAGACCCGTGGACACTGCACTCTTTTTCTTGCTCTGTTGCTTTCAAACCGCTAGGCTAAGCAAGAAACGTGACGTGTGCCAGAGGCGCAGAGCTTCGCCACTGGGAGAGCGCTGCCTCAAGCAAGGGCCGCATGGACGTTTCCAGCAGAGGTCGCTGCAGGTCGCTGTTGATGGTCCACCCACTGTCTAACTCAGCCGGGACTCTTCCCCAGCAGCGCTCTCTCAGAAACCTACTGTAGCAGGATAAAAGTCTTGCGCACACAGAAATGTGTGTACCAACAAAACGTTTGTAGCATCTACAGCAGCGCCTTTAGCAGTGAGATGCCGAAGTACTTGGCGTCGGAGAGCCACTTCAAAGCATGTGCAACGTAAAATACCTTGGATTTAGATGGCGCTTCCGCGTGTTGAGAAGGAACAAACCTGATGAACTGAAGAGGCTGAAGCTGAGTTTTGCTCCCGCACTCATCATCCGCCAAGCTCACTTGCCATATTGGCCATCTCAGGTCAGTTTGCTGCGCTTGCGCGCCCCAACCACATGAAACTCCTGTCGACGCTCCTCTCGCGATCTTTCATTTCTTGCAATTCGTCACGCACCACCTCATCCTTCAGCATCTTCGCAGCAGCGGAGTTGCGTGCTGCCCTAGCATTTGCTTCAACTCCTCCCAGGTAGCTCTTGTCCCCAGAGAGCGGCATGGAAACAAGCGATCGCCAGCTTGCGAAGCCGCTCAGCCCACAAGGGATGTCCTGATAGATCACAATCTTCGTGCGTCCGACGACTGCGCACGGCGCATCCAATACGTGCAAAGCCTTCGTAGGGAACAATACCACAAAACAACGTCGTCCCCCCGTGGAAACCAAGCATTTGCGCAAATTCGCCTAACTGCCCTTGCGCATGAACTACCATGGCAGACCGCACATCCCCATAATAAGGATAATAATATTTTGGTGTGTAAATTGGGTCCCCCTAATTATTTTGGGAAACTACCTTGTAGCTAGGCAACTACTATATCTTGAAGCGGCTGCGCTGCCCCATGGACTTAGACCCATCTGGATTTGGAACCCCTCTAATGTTATCTTTCATGGGTCCCGAAACCCTAAACCCTAAACCCGGTTGTGAAACCTGGAAGCTGTAAGGCTTTGGGCTCAAAGGGCCAGAGCTTAAGCATGGAGGGTCTCCGGTCAGTGACAGCGCAATTGTTTAAGGGTTCCCTGTCCCCAACCTTATCTTTTTCAGTGGTGTGGTTTTAGGATAGTCTATCAGGCTCTATCCAAGAGATTGCTGGGAGGGTGTCTGGAAAGACTTGCCGAAAGCTTTTTTTTGCAGTTTGGCGGTTGGCTTGAGATCGACGGCGCTCTCACCGAAACACGTCTCCAAGCACCAACACTGGCTGAAATCGACAACATTCGACGACCCTCTCACACGAAACGTCTTTTGAAGCACCATAGCCAGGTCTAATACTTGTACAATTTCGAGTATGGATCGACGACCAACTCACACGACACGAAACGTCTTTCCAAGCACCCTCGAGGTTTAGGAAGATTTCGAGTTGCTTGGATCACGTTGAGTTTTCAGTACTTGGCTCAATACTGGAAGCGAAGTCTTCATGAGCTGGCTAGGTTCTCGTTGAGTTTCAGTGCTGACTTAGCATGTTTGCATCAAAGTTTCATGAGCTTACGGACTTGTTTAATTGAGTTTCAGTATTGGATTGTCTTTTTTCAGAAAGCAAAATTCTCATACACCGGCCAGATTTTCGCGGAATTTCAATATTGGCTTAGTACTGGAATCGAGTTTGTCATGAGCCGGCGGCTACGCTGACACTGACACATAATCGTCTTTTACTCCTTATCATTCCTCATCGTTTCGCAAAGCGCCCTACATTTTGGGGACTTTCAGCAAAGCAGGGTTTGGTCTAGCCTAGCCCACACGATTCTCTACACTCATCTCTCTCCACTCCTGTCTGCAGAGACGCGTGAGGATGTAGCTCAGCTCGATTAGCTGGGTGTTGAAGGCTTTCTTGCCTTCTGCGCTGACTCGAGCAAGCAAGGACTATTCCGACTCGCCCACGCTTCGCTCCATAGCATCCATGCACCAACAATAATAGCCTTCGTTTTCCAAGAGCGCATGGTCACCAAAACAGCCAGAGCATACATGCCTAGACCAGAATAACCTTCATGCTCCAGAGCATCCAACCACCACAGTTTCCATGCTCAGACCCTAAACCCTAAACCCTAAACCTTAAACCTAAACCTTAAACCCGAAACCCTAAACCCTAAACCTTAAACCCTAACCCCTAACTTCCATGCTAATAACCTTCGCGTTCAGACAACAAAGCAGCCAGAGCCTCCATGCCCCAAACCACATACTATAGGATTATACAGGGTTATACAGGGTTATATAGGGTTATATAGGGTTATATAGGGTTATATAGGGTTATATAGGGTTATATAGGGTTCATAATAACGTTCGTGTTGAAAAAGAGCATACGCTCACCAAGGCATCCATGCCCAAACTATAATAACGTGCGTGTTCCAACAGCATGCGATCACCAGAGCATCCATGCCCAAACCATAACAGTGTCTGTGCTCAAAGAGCAGATGAGCTTGAACATATAAAATACTATACCCCAAAAGGAGGATATAATCTTACTCTATATTGGGTACCATAGTACCCCAAATAAACTACTACTCTGATGGCCACCGCAGCATCCATGCCCAAACCATAGTAACGTTCGTGTTCCAGGAGCATACGGTCAACAGAGCAGCCAGAGCATCCATGCCCAAACCTTGATAGCGTTCGTGTTCCAAGAGCATGCGATAGACACCAAACGAAATGACCTAGCTGTGCGTGTTCGATGCCCTGGCGCAGCAGTGCCTTAGACAACGCCAAATTCTGAGTATCTTTCGACCCACAAACGCAAGTGATCATGCTAAACAAATTGGTTTACAGCCTTTTGCACTTGTCCATTTTGCGGCTGAAATCGCCCTAAACCTCAGTTTCGTGCACTTCTCAAACACTCACGCGTTCCGTGCGCGCGTGACCTAGTTAGGGAAAGAATTTCGGCGGGCACGTGCACACGAGGTGAAATGCCGATGGGTACACCTTTTTCATTGGTCAGCACACATACTCATTCGATCCCCTCCGCTGGCCCCTTGCAATGAAGCCCCAAAGAAAAGCAGACAAACTTGTTAAAGTGGGCATGACCCACTCAAGCTTGACCCAGCGCATGCACACGCACAGGCATGCAACCAACCTGCAAAATCGATTATTACATGATCTGGTAGGCGAAAATCTGTTTACTGTCCAGTAACCTACTGGTGAAAGTCCATCAGCCTAAAGACAGCAAGTACACTGAAAACCAAAATGCTATAGCGCGCGTGTGTGTGTGTCTGTGTGTCTAGAATGTCTGTGCACGCGTGGAAGTACACGAAGCATCAAATGACATGAATGCCACTCTGAAAGAACGTGTCCCGCACAAACCGTCATGACCATAAAGTCTGATACAGCTTGCCATTCCTACGGGCGATTTGACGATGGAGAATGTCCTTGATGTTTACTGTGCTCGCTTTCTGCCAACGCGATAGGTTTGAAAGAAACGTAGGCATCAATGCAGAGCGAGTATGGTATAGTGCCTCACAAGCATCACTCCAGGTACCTAGGGAAAGAGTTCCTATTCCTTTACCCACTGTGCGGCCCACCGCGTGTGTACAAATCATACACACAAACAACGAAACGACAAACCAAGGCTAGCTTTGCGAAAATCCGCATTATCAGGCGCTTAAAAAAGACCCGGAATGAACTCCGCTGGCTCACCTGGTACCTTCTCAGAAAAGTTAGGGCCAAATCTGAGCATTGCGATTTTGAGGAAGAAGGGACCTCACCGCCGCCCAGGAGGACGATCATGCACGACAGGTTGTCTGTGGAGTTGCACTTCAATGCCTCCACCATCCCCAAAGGACCCAAAGGACATGAAGACCGCAGGGAGGAAAGGCTCGCTTCAACCTGTTTGGACATCTCCGGCCTCCTTGCAGACGGCAACTGCGGCCTGAAAGCTGGCTGAACTCCCATAGCCCAGTGGAATCTCTACAAAGATAGCCCGAGAACCTCTAGCAATGTCTGTTAGGTACTGGCCTGAGCAGGATCAACTGGTCCGCCCTTAGCAGATTTCAGCTTCTCAGCTGCCAATTTCACGACAGCCTCGTTCGGGAAGCTGCCTGCATCGGGCTCCGGCTCATCGCCACTGATCTGTCTATGCCGAATCCCGAAGGTTCCCCCCGAAGCATGCCTTGTGAGATGCCGTCACAACACAGCACAAGGAAATCTGCGGCTTCACATGTAAAAGCCTGTCAGCCAAACACATGCAGATCTGCATCGGCACTACGCACCACCATGGCCTGAAGCTCGGGAGCACAACTTACTGGTTGTTCCTGCGGGCTGCGCCCTACCAAGAAGATGATACGAATCCCAACTTCAGAACCGTGACTGTGAATCGAGGAGGCCTCCCACGTTCTTATGCTGAGCGTTGCCGAATGCACGGCTAACGGCCAAGCCGCTCACCCGCGCCACTCCCATTGCCTGGCTTCCACCAGTTCACACCAAAGACATGCTTTCTGCGGATCTAAGCCCAGGACTTCATGAACGTTCCCTCCAGCGCGCTCAATCCGGGCTCTTTCGCTCCGGAGATCAGGCTTATGGTCCTCACCACACTGAGCATGGAGCACAAGAGACATGCCTACTGCAAAGACTATCTACTTCTCTGCGTGTACACGCTTTGCGCGTCAGTTCCGGGCCCGGGGAAGATCGAACCATCAGCCCGCCCCAAAAGTGCACGGCTATCGGAGCTGATATTTGCCTGACTCTGTTCAGGGCCCTTGGGCTACCTGACCTGGTTGCATCCCCTGTCTCTAGACCCCCCACATCACAGGCATGTTGTGGAGCAGCCGTGGCACGGAAGCGCAATGCAGCCAAGAAGCCTCCAGGCGTGCTTGGCGCTTGAACCATGACAAACGTTCCTGTGGATCCACTGGGCTGGTTGGAGTCCAAGAACTCCTTGTCTAAGCGGAATGCCTGTCCAGGACACTCTGCCATGAGTGAAGACGAATCTGTGCACAGCCTGTCAGCTTCTCAAAAAGTACCGGCACCGTAGTGCAAGGCTAGGTTGCCGACCAGCTCTGTAACAGCTTCGTCACTTTCTGGCAGGCCGGTCTTGTCCAGCTCTTCGTCGAAGCGTCTGGCCATGAAACGAGAGCACTGATCACCACCGTGGCCGTCGAAGATGCCGAAAAAGCCCCAGGAGTCTTTGGCATGGATTACATGCGCATCCTCCACGCTAGGTCGCCACCCATTCATCTCTGCAAAGCCAACGCGAAAGGCCGCGCCGCCAACTCGCCTGGATTCACATGTTCAGTAGATCGGATGAGGACAAGCAACTCATGCAACAGCCAATCGTCAGGTCTGGCCAAGCACTGACTACAATGGCTGCCAAGGAACTTGACTGCCACCGAAGTAACGGCTTTCGGCAAGCCCATATTTCAAAGGGGGCAGCTGCCTTCCGTACGGCCCTCCTGGCGCAAGCAACCAGCTATAAAGCCTGTGCTTTTCGGCGAGTTGCTCATGTCAACGGTTCATGCCAGCACCCCGCCTCCAAACTCCAACACGCAAGCTAGGTTAGATTTGGCAAACACTTTGGACTCACTGCCATTCTAGTACAATAGTAACATTGAGGTAATATTGGGGTAGTATTCGGGCTTTAATCACTTTGTTTAAGTTGCTGCAGATGGTTTTTTGCCAATGCTGTCATTGTCATACGAGCCGAATCACTGCAACGTGGCGCAATTCAGGAAGCAAGATAATAATACGAATATTAGCAATGCGAATATTAATGACAATTACAACAATGAAGACAGTAATACTAAGAATGGTAATAGTATTGGTAATACTAATGGTGATAATAATTACAATAGTAGTGTGTCACTGCGTACTTGTCTGTGCATCGCGCACCCGCCTCAACCAGCCAACAGCAGGAAGGGAGCTTTCTGTGACTGACATGATAAACACTTGTGCAACTGCGCGGTTCCCTGCGCAATCCTGAGTCCTCTGAAGAAGTCTGTGGCGAAAAGCGTGCTGTCAAACCGGCTATGGCGGCTATGGCCAGCTGAGCTGTCAACGCGAAGCACCTAAAATGCATTCCCCCGGGCGGCGGCCTCACGGGCCTCACCCATTCCAGGGATTTCTATTCCTGCCCTGCTGCTCCCTTGCAGGATCCGGCCGCTATGAGGATCCCGTCGTTCTATGAGGCCCACTGAGAGGCTGATATCGCCCACTAGCTTCTTTAAGAAAAAATGACATGCAGCGCATGGCCTAAACCAAGATGCATGTTTTGCAGACCCTTTGAAGTTTACGCTCTTCGTTGTAATCTGCCGAGGCCTCGATTAGGCCTTCAGGAGTATCTAAACTGTACTCCTAGGACTCGTGTTCTGTGCGCCCCGAGTTAGAAGGCTGTGCCTACGGCAACGTGAGCGGCACCATCCTTTACCTACAAGCGTCAAAACACGGGCGGCATGTACATGCCAGGCCACCCAGTGGAAATCGAGATCGGTGGCAAGACACGGGTGGAGATCAGTTGTTCAGCGCTACCCACATGGCGCCAAAAGGGGCCCGGGTGCCCAGAGGCAGCAACAGCGGCATTGACACGCATCTGTTTAGTGAGCCTTTGCCCCCGTTCGCGCAGCAGAGACATGCACTCTTGTTTGCACCGAGGATGAGCCTGAAGAGCCGCAACAACAACAACAACAACAACAACAACAACAAGAACAACAAGAACAACAACAACAAGAACAACAAGAACAAGAAGAACACCAACAACTTAAACATGATGATGCAACACTTTTTCAACCCTGCGGTCAGGTTCAAAGAGTGTGGAGGCTCATCGGCTCTCTGTGCCACAAGCCTGCGTCATGGCAATCGGCAAAAAGGTTTTGCCACTCCAGCTGTGATTCTCATCAAGACGTTGGCTGTGTGCTTTGATAAAACGGAAAACCATGCACACGTGGCGCGATTTCGACAGACTCTTCATCTGTCAACAACCAAAGACGTCTAATTTGTTGGAGCACTCTTGGCAGTTTGAAGCAGACGCTCTCCTCGCCATGTGGCGAGCGCGTGTTCGCTGAGCGTCTCAAAAATGCGTCACAACAGACGCCTAAACATCTCTACGCATACTAAAACATTTCGGCCCTATTGTAGGTGCCAATTGAATTCAGCGGGGTCGCTGCCTTGTTAGCATCTGACGGAACCTGAACATGTTTGGGATCCAGACAAGCAAGCAGAAACTGATACAAGTACAGAAAAGGAAAGTCAGGACAATGCGATGGTGCCCAAGTTCATGTGTCCACATAACCACAGGACAGGGCACCTCAAAGCCCTAAAGCCCTAAACCCTAAACCCCTAAACCCTTAAACCCCAAACCCTACACTATAGTAGCTTCCATTTTCTTTTGCAGTATCCCTATATGACCCTGTATAACCCTATATAACCCTATACATCCCTATATAAACCCATGGTTCAACCCAAGCCACAGAGTAGTCAGCTGGTCTTCCAATCGTGACCGCACCGCCTGGTTGACTGCATCAAAGCCAATGCTGGTGAGGATGAGCCTCTTGATCAAATCCTGCCCAAGATCTCAATGGCAGATGTTTGTGATGCTGAACTAAACCCTAAACCCTGTATAACCCCATTGTATTAATTTCCATTGTCTTTTCCACTATCCCTATATTACCCCTATTACCCTAAGCAAGTTGCTCCCGAAGGATCCCATTTCTAGATTCTACATCTGGTCAAGTTGTATGCTGGCACTCAGAAGAAGCAAAAACTAGCACATGGCGCTATGGGCCACACTGCCCTAAGACAGGAAAATGGACAGATCTCCAAAACAAAGCCTGGCAAAAACATGCATGCTGGCCACGTCCCTGCACACCCCACTCTTCATGCCCCTAATCCTACTGGTGCTTCAGGGGGAGTGGGGGCATGGATTTCTACAATAACCCATAAATAATCCCCGTATACCTTCTATAACGGTACCTATGTTCACTGCCCCACTCCCCCTTAAGCACCAGGAAATAATTCATCAGGCAGCCTCATCCGCCCGCTGCGAAGCCTTCGCGTCCCGCACATCCAGAGCATCCAGCGCTCGATTCAGGGTGTCAATCCTGCGAGGACACTGCACAGTGGATACTAAAAATCCTGCATGACCCTAAGTACCTTATACCTTCGAAAGAACCCTAAACCCTAAACCTATAGTAGCTTCCATTTTCTTTTCCATTATCCCTATATAACCCTATATAACCCTAAACCCTAAACCCTATACCCTAGTGCTATAGAGAACATGGTACTCCAGTAACACTTAGGTCTTCTTAGGAATGGATCCATGGGAGCGCGGCGGAGCCCTTTTACTGCTCAGCGAAAACAGACAATCTGATAGGTTTAGGGTTTTGGGTTTAGGGTTTTTTTTTTTTTGACGCACCTTTTCTCCACTGCCGGAGACTGTCCACAGACTAGATGCGAAAACCCCTCTACTTATGCCCCTCTCAGTGGGTGTCCTCGTGGAGGTCCTTTTCACTTTCCATCGCATCCACTGCCGAATTGGCGTCTTCTCCATTCTCTACCGCACCCTCTGCCGTGATGTCGGAACCCTCATCCTCGCCTTCATCGATCATCTCGGAAGCACGGCTGCGGAAGGCATCTAGCCCTCTGACACCATAACGTGCCACCACTTGTGCATCGGTCATGATCCCGATTTGCCACATGTGGACGTGGGTTTAGGGTTTAGGGTTTAGGGTTTAGGGTTCAGGGTTTAGGGTTTAGGGTTTAGGATTTAAGGTTTAAGTACTTTGTAGAGGCTGCTACTGGGCGACTAATCTACTGTTGGTTTTTGACAGTTGCATCTATTCCCATGGGGCCTTGGGCCTGAGGTAGCACCCATGAAGAAAGCATGACTGCAAGTGCTGCCACCTACATGAACTGAAGGGTGTGTTTTCTACACGTTACTATACATATCTAGTATCAACAGTATCACTGCCTCAACTAAAATCGGAGAACCGAATCATAGGCTGCGACTGAGCTTCTGCCCACGTGCCACTGCATCCATGAAAAAGGTTTCAGCCGAGCTGGGAAGGATGATTGTCATCGGGATGTTCTGTTCAATGCAAACCTTCGACTGAAAAGAAAGCTCATGAAAGCTTGACTTGCAAATCATGCCCCTTACAGTTGCCGGTCATGGGGTCACAAAGAAAATTGCAATAATCTTATCATAAAGTGACTAAATAGTGCAGTCACTACCAAACAGTCCGCGATCGCCAGACATCACAATTGACCTAACTATCTGGCCGGGCTGGCGACATAGCTCTCGAAGATACACCAAGCTCGCGTGATATATGCCGGTGATCTTGGCGGGCTTGGGGTTGAGGGTTTGAGCTGCCATTGACATTCCTCTTGGATGAAAAGATGAGTTTGACATGATATGTTCGCTGCCTTCTCAATCTCAGCTACAGTACAGCTACTGTCACTTCTTGAAGGGAAACATGTTATGTTTGCCTTTTTTTAGGGGTGGGTCCTTTTTTTTCTGGGGGACAGGGCCAGTTTCCGTATGTGAAAGACAGGAGGGAACGACGGAAGACTTGGCGTGCAGCAGGGGAGCAGGGAAGAGAGATAGAAAGAAACCAAGAAAGCAAGAAGGAAATCACAACAGAAAGAAAGAAGAAAGAAAGAAGAAAGAAGAAAGCAAGAAAAAACTTAAACGTAAAGAAAGAAATAACGCAAGAACGAAAGAAAGAACGAAATGAAGAAAGGAAATAAGGAAAGAAAGAAAGAAAGACAGTAAGAGAGAGACGCGGCCTCAAATGCTGCAATTGCTTACCAATTACCATTGACTTTTTACTCTTGACTGCTACTGTTAACTACTGCTGTTTTACAAAGTACTGTTTACTCTGAACTCTTTACTATTCACTATTAACGACTACTACTAGAATTGCAAAAACTACTGACCATTTGCTATTCCAGATATGAATGCTATGTACTACGAGTAACTATTACTACGCATTTTCAAGTCACTATTTCTATTTACCATTCTTGTGTACTATGACTATACTATTACAAACGTATTCATATTATGGCTCCTACTACTACTACCACTACTACTACTACTACTACTACTCCTACTCCTACTACTACTACTACTACTACTACTACTACCACTACTACTACTACTACTTCTACTACTCCTGCTGCTGCTGCTGCTGCTGCTGCTGCTGCTGCTCCTGCTGCTGCTGCTGCGACGACTACTTCTACTAGTACTAGTACTATTTGTTGATACTGTTGATTGTTAGTGCTCGCCATTGTTCATTGTGTTAAAACATTTCATGACTTTCATGATTCATCATCATGCTTCATCGTTTTGATCATGTTCAGCATTCTTCATGACTTTCACCAGTTGCCATACCCTCTTATCATTTTCATCACTTTTCAATAGTGTTCATAACTTACTACATGACTTTGATCATGTTTATAGTGTTCATCATGTATGTTATGATTTGCCAGAACTTTCCAGCTATTGTTCCATCATTCTGCATGAAATGCAAATGGGCAATCGGGGCTGCACCCCAACACCCCTCCCCCATCCACAACCCTATTCTCTCCTCCATGACCCCTCCGTGCCACCCACCCAAACCAACAAAAAGAAAAGCACATGGCAAAAAAAAATCGGCAAAACAAAATCGGGGTGAAAAAAAAACTGACCAAAAATAAGTCAACATCTTCTTGAAGGTACATGGTCAACGGAAGAATCGTGCGAAGGCTGCCCCGAAACAAGCTGCAACTGCGTTTAGTATGTGGGTTGTTCTCAAAATTTTGGGCCCCTTTTGAAAATAGATTAAATTGCAGCACCTAATATTTGGGGGGATAGCAAAATGGGACCCAAATTTTGGGAACTACCCTAAATCCCTAAATAGTAGCTTCCATCTTCTTTTCCATTATCCCTATATAACCCCAATATATACACTGTAATAATCCAGCAGTTGCCAGCTTCCTTTCCATCATCCCTAAAAAAAACCCGAGCATAATATACCAAAATATACTATAATATACAGTAACATACCGCAATATAGTATCATCTACCCTGGTGGAGGAACTCTGAGCTCCCCGACACGATAGAGTCCAAGAGCACCAGCATTCGACCGGCTTTCGCCAGATGCGACTCAAAGACGGACTTCAGCTCATGACTTCCCGTCTGCGTGGCCTCCCAGGTTGAAAGGGACTTTACTGGGAACCCCAAACAGGGAACCCCAAGAATATGGGGGTTTCCCAAAATTAGGGGTACCATTTTTAGGGGTCCCAATAATAAGGACTATAGTATTTTGGGGTCTATATTGGGGTCCCCTTATTCTGGGAAGCTACCAAATAGTAGGAATGTAGTAGGCATCAGGGTCCTTATATGCTACTGCATTCCTACTATATTCTTGGGGTTCCCTGTTTGGGGTTCCCATTACAACCCTTTT